GACCACTTCATTAAGCTGAAGTGGTCTGGGTGCCTAGAGTGGTCCTTTAACCCAAAAATTATAACTACCTAATTCTGAAATTTTTGCATATCTTAGAGTCAAATATTTCTTACAAAAATATTTAAATTTAGCCATTAAAAAGGCCCAAAACTATTAAGGCATATTTTCTCAAATGAGGTAATACCTAGAGATTTAGCAAAAGCAATATAAGTAATTAGAAATATAAATTACCTAGTTAGCTTGCCTCAAAAGAAGAAATGGGAAAATTATCTGAATTGTCTATTAGATCAACAAGAATGGTGTAATGCTATAAGTACTACCCGTGAGAATGTCCAATGTTTGAACTTAAAGGACCACTATAGTGCCAGGAAAACATACTCATTTTCCTGGCACTATAGTGCCCTGAGGGTGCCCCCACCCTCAGGGACCGCCCGGCTCTGGAAAGGGGAAAGGGGTAAAAACTTACCTTTTTCCAGCGCTGGGCGGGGAGCTCTCCTCTTCTGATCCTCCTCCTCTCCGCCCATTCGGCTGAATGCGCACGTGCGGCAAGGGCTACGCGCGCATTCAGCCGGTTGCATAGGAAAGCATTTACAATGCTTTCCTATGGACGCTTGCGTGCTCTCACTGATTTTCACAGTGAGAAGCACGCAAGCGCCTCTAGTGGCTGTCAATGAGACAGCCACTAGAGGCTTTGGATGAAGGCTTAACCCATTTATAAACATAGCAGTTTCTCTGAAACTGCTATGTTTATAAAAAAATGGGTTAACCCTAGCTGGACCTGGCATCCAGACCACTTCATTAAGCTGAAGTGGTCTGGGTGCCTAGAGTGGTCCTTTAATAGAAACCTATTATAAAGTTATGAATAGGTGGTTCCTAGTCCCAAAAAGAATAGCACAGATGTATCAAAATGTTTCGGCTAGGTGTTGGCGATTGACCTTGAAGAAGGTTCATATCTCCATATATGGTGGAGTTACCCATGTATTCAGAATTCATTAGATTTACTTTTTAATTATATTGGGGATAAGACGAAGATAGTTCTAGACAGGAAACCTGAAGTTGCACTGTTGCATATGCATTGGCCAAATATGACACTTTATAAGCTTTATAATTCATTGTTTTATTGCATACAAGATTATACTCACACGTAACTGGAAAAAACACAAGAATTATCATGGGAGCTTATTAAAGATCATTAAAGATTATACAGATTAAGATGGAAAGAGATTTAAGTATCCCGTTTTTGAACGCTCCAAAAAGGCAGGCTTTCTGGCAAGACTGGGTAACAAATATGCAATAGGCCTTTGATCAAAGTATAGGGAAAAAAACTTTTTTTTTTTGTAAAGATTCCCTTGAGCATTGTTAGATGCCCCTCCCCTCTCGGCTTCGCAGAAATGTTGATGTGTGTTCTTTATACATATCAAGATCATAATTTATGTGAGATATGGTGTATTTACAAATGAGATGTACTATGTGGATATGTGTATTATATATTTGTTAATGTTTGTTATTTTGTCTTAAGTGTCTATATGCGAAAAAACTGAATAAAATAATTTATTTAAAAAAAAAAAAAAAAAAGTTGTGTATGCGAGACTGACAGACTTCGTCGAGTCCAACTCTCTGCTAGACCCGCTTCAGTCTGGTTTCCGCGCTAAGCACTTTGTGGAAACGGCACTGACCTAGGTATCCAATGATCTAGACGCTGCAAAATCTTGTGGTCACTACTCTATCCTAATTCTCCTTGACCTTTCTGTGGCCTTTGACACTCTTGATCATCAACAGCTTCTTCTCATCCTCCGCAATATCACTCTACAAGATATTGCTCTCTTCTGGTGCTCCTCCTACCTCTCCCAGCGCTCTTTCAGAGTATATTTCTCTGGCTCTGCTTCTTCTCCCAAACTCCTCTCTGTTGGTGTCCTCCAAGGTTCAGTCCTTGGTCCCCTACTGTTCTCCATCTATACTGCCTCCCTTGGTAAACTCATTAGCTCCTTTGGCTTCCAATATCATTTCTATGTGGATGACACACGAATCTATCTGTCCTCTAGAGATCAATCTCTCCCCATCCCTCTTGACTAGTTTCTCTGCCTGCCCCTCTGCTATTTTTAACTGGATGGCTGCCCACTTCCTTAAACTAAACTTAACCAAAACTGAAATTCTGGACTTTCCTCTCTCAAGTGTTGCTACTCATGTGTCTCCCTCCCTCCAAGTCAACAGTGCTACCATCAGCACCACCACTCAGGCTCACTGCCTAGGTGTTCTCTTTGACTCCGACCTCTCCTTCACACCTCATGTTCAGTCTATCATCAAATCCTGCCGCTACCATCTCAAAAACATTGATAGACTTACGTCTATCTTATGTCCATACTCCCACCTCTGATGCTCACCTTCAAGACATCTCGAGGGCGGCACCATTCCTGTGGAACTCACTTCCCTCCTCTGTTAGATGCTCACCCAGTCTCTTACAAAAAATCATTAAAAACCCACTTCTTCATAAAAGCGTATCAATTAAACTGTTAATAGCTCCTGACTGATTCCTCTCTTGCAACTGTCATTAGTCTAATACTATCTTTACCTTTTGTGTCACTTTACCCCACTCCCTCTAGCATGTAAGCTCATTGAGCAGGGCCCTCAACCCCTCTCTTCCTGTGTGTCCAACTTGTCTGGTTACGACTACATGTTTGTTTGTCCACCCACTGTAAAGCGCTGCGGATTTTGTTGGTGCTATATAATTAATAACATAATAAAGTTAGCATTTATATTTGTTTGTGTGTTAAAAATGCAAAAAACAATTATAAATGCTTACTTCGGCCAGTGTTTGTGACTAAGTGGCTACTAAGAAAGACTGAACATACCCCATTTGCAATACCTCGGGTTGTCTTCTTTTGCAAATGGTATGCCATTATGGGGGTAAGTCTCATTCCTGGGCTACCATACGCTCTCAAAGGCAACATAACCAATCTAGCAAATTTCAATGTGAAAAAAACTGCCTTATATTTGACCCTGTAACATTCAAAAACACTATAAAACCTGTACATGGGGGATACTGTTATACTCAGGAGACTTTGCTGAACACAAATATTAGTAAAACGTATTACAACAATGATCATCAGTGAAAGTGCTGTTTGTGTGTGAAAAATGCTAAAAACGTCATTGTTGTAATATGTTTTACTGTTTTCAAACACTAATATTTGTGTTCAGCGAAGTCTACCAAGTAAAACAGTACCCCCCATGTACAG